TAATTACAAACAAAATTCAAGGATCACTTTTTATTTTTTTAAATTTGTTTTGTGTCTATAACCTGTAAATTTCAACAACTTTCGTATTTTGAAGCTACTAAATAAAAAATAAAAAAAATTAACATCACTTCGTTTTTTGTTTTTGTTTTTGTTTTTTTTTTAACTTCGTAGTTAGTTTTATTTTTACTTTATGTTATATGATAATATAATCATTCATTTTAAATACAATAAAGTCTTAACCATGGAACGCGCATGACATGAATATTTCTATAGCAGTGACACGTGAATATAAAATTCAACAATCATAGAAAAAAAAATTCTTACCTATGATTTTTGTCTAAATATATAAAACATATTTATTCAAATTAAATTTTAAAATTTTGATCATTAATATGTAATGTGTTTATAATTTCAATACAAACAGAGTTGAATAATAAATTTTTTTTTTTTTATATATAAGAAATTAACCAAACTGTTATTAAAATATTCACATATTGTTCAAAGCCCCTTTAAAGAAAACAACAAAAAAAATGCCCCCACTACATATACATATAGGTATACAAAGAGAATAAAATTTATCAAAACCCTAAAATCCTACAATTGCCTAACCAATTATAACGTTGTCGATGGTTGAATGTAACTCGAATCTTAAACGTAGAGTTTGAACAAAACTTTATACCCAATATGCAAACACTAAAAAAACTCGATGGCATGTTAAAATATATAGCTAAATTGTGAAGCATTTGAAAAATAAGATAGAAATGAATTTGAAGATAATTATTAGATATTTTTGGTATTTAGTGAATTTTTAAAAGATTTTTTTCATAATTTTTTTACTTTTTAGGTATATTTATGTTAGGTATATCTAAAAATTTTAAAAAAAATTTGCTTAAAATATTAAAAAAATTCAGAAAAACAAAAAAAACACAAAAAACAAGAGTAGAATTTACTGAAAAGTGTATTTGTAATACTCTAACCAAGCAAAGTGAATCATAATTATCTTGAAGTAATTTAATATTTATCTTACAGTATACATGAAATTTATAAGTTAACTTTTATGTTTATAACTTTTAAAATTATTAGTTTAAAAAAATTAAAAAATATATATATATATATATATATTTTGCAATTTTGATAATTTGTATTAAAAAAAAGTTAAACCTGATTAAATGAGATTAACTGAGTTATGACATATCTCTTCTTGTTATGAAATATACAAATTTAAAAGTTATAATTAAAACAAATATATAATTTTATTATTAAATATGAAGTGAAGTGATATTTAACAATAATTAATATGATGTTTCCATTATTAATCCAATAATTTAAGTTATATTTATTTTGATTTCAATTTCATAACTAATAATACACACACATTTCTAGTCTTTATAAATAAGAAGGTTTTAAAATATTTTTAAACTTTCATCATTTTATTTTAATTTTTTTTTATCTAATTTGATTTTAAATTTGAATAAAAATTTTGATTTGATACGAATTACTTTAACTTTTTCATTAAATTTTTATCAATTTTTAAAAGAACTTTCATTCTTATCCCATTTTTTTTTCTTTTCACCAATTTTGATGAAAAAAAACAATAATTTTTAACGTTTCATCTTTTTAAATTTTTATCAAATTATAATTTGATAAAAAAATATATTAAGGGTTGAAGATTCTCTTAATTGGAATTATAGTGAAATAATATTTTGAAATAGTAAAAGTTTGAGTATGTGTTTGATTGAAATGTATAATTTAATTAATTTTCTTCTCATATTTGTATAAAAATTGACACTTATGACTACATCATTATAAGTTGGATTATGAAAAAAAATTTGGGATGTCAAACATTTTCCATTTATAAATATCTTACATATAAAAAAATGAAAAAGAAAGAAAAAAAAAATGTGTAGCTTTTTAATATGTGTTTATCAGTTTTGTTTTATGGATATAAACAATTGATGTTTCAATTTAAAAGATTAAAAAGTAAAAAAAAATAGACTGAGTTTTTTAGAGATAAAATAAACCATCTAACTCTTCTATATACTATTAAGGTGGACTATTTCAATTTAAAAAATTAAAAAGTAAAAAAAAAAAATAGATTGAGTTTTTTAGAGATAAAAGAAACCATCTAACTCTTCTATATACTATTAAGATGGACTATTTTAATCACATAAAAAAATAAAAATTATATTTAGAAATTATCCCTATATATTATGCCATTATATACAACTATAGTTGTAACAAATTAACTATAATATATATGAAAAGTTATATTATGCTTTCATTTTCAATTAATTGAATTATAATTAACAAACCAACAAATACTAGTAATGGTCTAATGTGATACTCCCTCCGTCCCAAAATATTAGTCCCTTATTCCATTTTTCATTGTCCCAAAATATTAGTCCCTCTTCAAAAATCAAGTACAAAAATAATGTAAATTTCCTATTTTGCCTTTCTTTTAAATTAATAAACAATACAAAAAGTACAATTATGACATTGATATTCTCAAAAAATGTACTATCAAAAGGGTAATTTTGGAAAATCAACTTTTTTCAAATGCAATAATTGTACTACCAAAAAAAGTTGAATTCCCCAAAAGGGACCAATATTTTGGGACGGAGGGAGTATAAAGAGAATAAAAATAAAGAACACGATGATATTTAAAAGTTTTAAATTTATCTAGTTATACAAAAATATAATGTTATAGTAAAATCTTGAATTTTCAATAAATATGCACATTTTTTATAAAATAAAATGACAAAAAACATAAAAAATTGATACCCATTTTTTTTTTTACTTTAATTTTATGGTCTTCACTGAAGAAAACAAAATCCGATCAAAATCCTTGGCATAGAATGGACATAGATACTTTGATTGCAACCATAATTACCAATAATTCTTCTCTACTATGCAAACCTGTAAATAAGCACATAAACCTCACTAAAATTGAAATCAAAACCAAACCAACAGTAGAGAAAGAGAATCACACAGTGAAAAAATAAAATTAAAAAATAAATAAATTTATAGAGTGGGAGAATGTTACCTCTAACAACTTAAACCTCGCCTAACCCAATCCGTTAGCTCCTCTGCCAGTGCCCGCGAAGTTTAGAAGTTGGAATGACTAATCAGATTATTCTTTAAATAAGATTTGAAAATTGATTAATTTGTTTCATTAAGTGATTTAAAATTTTGATATATATACATTAAAAAAATAGATAATTATATCACTAAATCATAATTCAAATTTAGATATTGTCATATTTTTTTAGTTCCATATTTAAATTCTTATTTTTTATTTTTATTTTTGTGTGGTTTCTGTTCGGGTTTTTTTTTTTTTCAATTTATTTAAGACGGAGTTGTGGCTATCTATTTTTTTAATTTAATTTATTTGTGGTTTATATTTATTTTTAATTATTATTATTTAGGTAATTCATGATGTTAGTTAGATTTGAGATAGACATGTGGGTTTTATTGATTTAAAGTATAATGGTGGGAGATATTTTCAAATTAGATTTGTTTAGATAAACTGTAAAGATTTTTAAAATTTTAAATTGGATATTGAGATGCAAAAGAAAGATTTTAACTGAATAAATAAAAATCAAATTTATTAATTTTATCTGTTTGTATATCTGATTTTTATTAATTTATTTATTTTTTGTTATGTTATAATATAATATATAAGATATAGATAGATATCTACAACTTTTATGAAAAATATTATCTAATTTTTTTTGAAAAGAAAGAATGAAGGCAAGTTTTAATATATTTTTTTTTGGAAATCGGTGAGAGAAATTAGGATGGAGCAATTATGAAATATTATTGTTATTAAATAAATAAATTAGTCAATAATTTTTTTAATCTATTTTATAAATTAAAAAATCAATAATTTTAGAAAATTAATTAATTTGTCCCATTAAGTGATTTAAATTTTGATAGATATACATCAAAAAATAGATAATTATATTACTAAATCATAATTCAAATTTAGATGTTATATCTTTTTGAGATCTATAGTTAAATTCTTACATTATTTATTTTTGTGTAACCATAGTGTATGAGAGAAATTGAAAAGGATGCTGCAGTAATTATGAGAGAAGTCAAAAGAGTTTGTGGGTTGGGAGAAGTCAATAAATACTGAGGTTTTTTTTTAAATTAAAAAAATCAAGATTAAAATATTGGAGCTCCCACAAAATTTATAAATTAAAAACCTCTTTTTTCTTATATAATATACTAGCATATCACCCGTGCTATGCACAGGTTGTATTTATAATTATCTATATATGTGAATTGTGATTTTTAAATGTTTTTTTTATTTTAAATGTCTTCCTTTTTTTTCTTTTTTATATTTTATTAAAGTTTAATATTTTGATAATAATCATATGTGTTGGACTTTTTAAGGAATTTTTTATCCTTGTTCTTAATGCATTAAAGTGTTATTATGAGGGATAATAATCATATGTGTTGGAACTTTTCAAGAAATTCATAAGTGCTGGATTTTTTAAAGAATTTTTTTATGCTTATTCTTAATGCATTAAAGTATTATTGTGAAGGTAAGACTTAGGGGTTGAGAAAAATTAATAAATACTAAGCAGATGATTTTAACAAAATTAATAAATATTGAATTTTTTTTAAATAAAAAATAAAAAATTTAAAAAATTCAAATTGAGTTTTCACAGACTTTAAAACCCTATTTAATATATAATATAGATAGATGGGTTAGTAATTTTTATTGTTGCATTAATTTTTTTCTAAAAAACAATTTCAGTGGTAATAAAAATTTTCAACAATTCATCCCCTTTTTCTCTCCACCCCCTTTGACCCCCTCTCTCTATTTCATTGGTTACATTTTCCTTTTTTTTTTTTTTTTTTCCTGTTCCTCCAATCACCACCCGCCACGTGATAAAAAGGGATAAGGAGTGACCCAAAAAGGAGTACCAAGCATTATTCAAAAATTTCAGTGGGTTTCCTCCAATTCTGGATGTCGCATCAATACAGCTGCTTCGCTCGCTCTCTCTCTCTCTCTCTCTCCACTCGCAGTCTGTGCACTCTCACAGTCCCCACCCCCTAGCCTCAACTATATGATTTCGCTTCCGTAGAAGGAAAACACTCGCTCTTCTCTGAATTCTGTTTCTTCTTTGCTTCAACCATTCTCTTATGTTATCTCCAAATTAATAACGAGAAAGATTGCGAAATGTCTGATGGGTCTTTGAACAACGAGCTCTCCAGAAAAACCTCAATCTTCGGTCTCCGCTTGTGGGTCGTTCTCGGTATATGCTTTGGCGCTGCAATTGTTCTTGTTCTCTTCCTAATCTCTCTCTGGTTCACCTCAAGACGCAACAACAACAAGAACAAGAACAATTCGACCCTTAAAAAATCCTCTTCTCACAAACCCACAATCCCAAACGTCTCGAGAGAGATCCAAGAGATCCGAATTGACCCATCTCGTGCTCAAACTCACACCCACAATCACAATCACAATCACAATCAAGACAACCTTAAGCTCCTTCCAGCTCCAATTTCCGACCCATTACCAGAATCCGACCCATTAGGCAGAGAGGATGATAACCCAATTGGGCACCAGAGGATCCACATTGAGATTGGAAAGGGTCATCGGATTTCATACCCGGAGCGAGGCGGTGGCGGTAGCGGTGGCGGCGGTGGGTCGTCGCATGGCAGTGGAGAGGCTCGGTCTGGTGATCAGCTGGCCATAGTTGTGCCTGAGGTTTCGCATTTGGGTTGGGGACATTGGTATACTCTCAGAGAGCTTGAGGAGTCAACAAATGGGTTTGCTCATGAGAATGTGATTGGGGAAGGTGGGTATGGGATTGTTTACAGGGGTGTGTTGGAGGATAACACTAATGTGGCTGTCAAGAATTTGCTCAATAACAGGTGCAGTGTTTGAATTCTTAGTCCCATAACCATGCACAAACACTCACTCAATTGTGTGTATTTGGTCTAGAGGTATGGTTTTAGTAATCATGCTTGCATGCAATTCTGACTAATTGTTGTCGAATTATATGGAATTCAACAATTGATGCTAAAAAAAGAGAAAGAAAAAGATTGGGTCATGCTAGTGACAAACTGCCTATTTAGGTTCATTAAGAACTAAATAATGCTGAAAATAAGAATTCCATTACACTTCTATATTTGTCTATATATTTTCGCATATTTTAATACCCTTTTTACATATCCATAGTGGCGTTTCCCATGAAAAAAGAAGAAGGATTGTGTGGCTTATGTAGTCTAATGTAGCATGGAGTTTGAAATTGCATAGCATTGAAAAATATGGATGATTGGGGTCATTATTTATTGCAGGGGACAAGCTGAGAAGGAGTTTAAAGTTGAAGTCGAAGCAATCGGACGTGTTCGGCATAAGAATTTGGTGAGGTTGCTGGGTTACTGTGCTGAAGGTGCTCATAGGTACTTGTCAAGTAGTTAACTTTGTGCTTCATTTGATCTTTTTGGTAATCTTGACTCTACATTGCCAGAAAACTTTCTAAGAAAGAACATTTTGTTTTCATTGTTTAGGATGCTTGTTTATGAGTATGTGGACAATGGCAACTTAGAGCAGTGGATTCATGGAGATGTAGGGCCTAGTAGCCCTCTTACATGGGATATTCGAATGAACATTGTACTTGGAACGGCGAAAGGGTATAATGCTTCTAATCAAATTAATTTTTGTTGTGTGAGCTCTGCTCTTTTATTCCATGTTGTTCTGCGTAATTCATACAATTACAGGTTGACTTATCTTCATGAGGGGCTTGAGCCCAAGGTTGTTCACCGTGATATCAAGTCAAGCAACATTTTGCTTGACAAGCAGTGGAACGCAAAAGTATCTGACTTTGGTTTAGCCAAGCTCTTGGGCTCGGAGAGGAATTATGTGACGACTCGAGTCATGGGAACATTTGGGTCAGTTAAGTCACTTGCCTTTATTATATGAAGTCATTGGCATCCATAAACTCAACCAAGCTGAATGAATTGGCAATTGTTTCTGTGTTGTAGTTATGTTGCTCCAGAATATGCTAGTACTGGAATGTTGAATGAGAGAAGTGACGTGTATAGTTTTGGAATTCTTCTCATGGAGATAATTTCTGGGAGGAGCCCGGTCGATTACAGCCGTCCTCCAGGGGAGGTTGAACTTGATTGCTAACATCAGTGCATAAAATTATAGTTCCATGTTGAAACCACGTCAAAAAAGGATTTCAACATGATCTTTTCTTTTACTTTACTTTTTTTTTTTTTTAAATTACATTTTTCTCTTTCTTGTCTTCGTTGATTCTAATGTGTGTAGCTTTTAGGTGAACCTAGTCGAGTGGCTTAAAACAATGGTTACCAATAGGAATGCGGAGGGAGTTTTGGATCCTAAAATACCTGAGAAGCCTTCTTCAAGGGCATTGAAGCGTGCACTTTTAGTAGCGTTACGCTGTGTAGACCCAAATGCTCAGAAGAGGCCAAAGATGGGTCATGTGATACACATGCTTGAAGCTGATGATTTTCCCTTCAGAGATGTAAGCTCCTGTCCTTTGGCCCCCCAAATCCTTCCAAAAGTGATGTTCAATACGAGTGTTTAACTTCACTTATGTTCCATTAAATGCGTAAATTGTGTTCTCATTGAATGTGCTATAGTGACATGTTCTCTACTCTCTTCATTAATTTGTTTTGGTTCAAGACAATAACCTTACACTAGCATATTATATTAGCTTTCCAACAAACCTTGTGCTTTACAACTAAACAAGCTCATTTTCACATGACTTCTAATACATAGGGATTTAATAGTCTTTAATTCCACGTGTTGTCTGTAGTTCCTTGGGTTTCAACATATCCCTTGCAAGACCTGAGAAAGAGAGAGTTTGATGGAATGGATTGACACATAAGATATAGTCAAGAAAAGGCCTTGTTGGATTTGTCTTAATATATATAAACATCATGTTCAAATTTGTCGATGCAAACACATGCATGACACATCCTATGTTGTGTTGAGCATGAAAATCACATCCATTTTGTTGTTCATCTTACGTAGTTCTTTCTTGTAAGGATGAATTTTAATGTAGTTTTTGTTTCTCTATTTATTGAAAAAAAAAACACAAACGAACCATTTCAGGACCGTAGAGCTGGAAGAGAACATGGACGCCCACATCGTGACAGTATAAAGGAGAGGTTGATGGAGAAGTGTGTGATTGAATCAGGTGACAGTAGTGGTTATGAGAGTGCTGTCCAAGCCAACAGGTCACTTTGGAGAAGGCAAGAACCTGAAGAAGAGCAGTAACCTCAACACACCTCCGTGTGTTAGCATTGAGAGTTAAGACTCACTTGTCTGAGTTCCTTTACATCCAGAGCTGTCCTAGTTTGGATTTTTATTCACTTCACATGTATATGCTAGTTATATCAATGACTCTTGTAGACTTTTTAGCTATTTTTGCGTTGATTCAGTTTTGGATACAGTGATAATGATTCAGTTTTATGGGCAAGCCAGTTTTCTTTGTGTCTGAAGACTGATTGTTGTTTGTTACCTAATGTTGATATTTTTGTTCACTTCTTAAACTTCGATGTTCCCAAAATGAGAGAACTATAGATTGGTCTTGCCAATCATGTCTGCTTATTTTTTTTTTTTGTTTTTTCCAAAAGAAAATAACTTCATTATTTGAAAAAAATACATACATAGCCGAGTCGGTCAACGCATCATTAAGGCTGTAAACCAGTAGAATAGCATGTTATTCAAGTTTGGTTTGGTAACTTAATAAGCTTTTAAAATGTATTAAACTCGGTTTGTTTGTGTTTCGACTTGATCATAAGCCGAGCTTGAGTGACTTGAGGCTATGTTTGATTTCACAAGGTTAATAGTGAGGTATTAACAATCCTATGAAATTAGTGTGGTATTCACAATCCCACCCCTATCCCATTACTAATAATCCTATAAATTTGTTGGATTAACTATCCATTGGATTAATAATCTTAAAAAAAATGTCAAAACAAACATATGATAATTGGGCCCACGGATTAATAATTCTAATCCCATATTCTAATCCTTCCAATCAAACATGCCCTGAGTGTTTTATACAAATTTTTATTATACGTATAAACTTATCGAGAGTTATAAATACGTTCAAGATTAGCAGTTGTTTAGAATTGATTTTGAATGAACTTTTGATGAATTGAATAGAGTATAGTTGGTTTTACACTCTTACACCTAATAACAATCATAGTAGGAATTGGATATTCGCAAGTACAACCATATGAATATGTAATGTGGGGACATATTTTTTGAATACCAACACGTGGCATGGTGACGCCGACGTGTCAGCCGAGGTGCCACGTGTCCTGATAGTTAAGCCGAGGTAATCGCGGAGAAGCCGAGGTCATCTCCTAAGATGTCGGAATCCGAAGATAAGGGACAAGAGTCCTGGAGCAAAGAGGGGACTTAATTAAGATAAGGATAAATCTCTTAGGGAGTTTATCTCTATCTCCTAAAGAGTCCAGAGTAAGCACTAAGATTGGAGTTCATAGAAGTCATACTTCTAGTTGGACTTGGATTGAGTACATTATAAAAGAAAGGCACCCCCGTGGGTCTAAGGTATGTAATTCATACTTTGAGTATTCAGTTTAATACTTGATTATCCTTGAGAATCATACTGACTTGATCGTCGGAGTGCCCCCGGGTGGAAGAACCACCGCCGGAGCTTTTTCTTTTCTGTTACAGGTTGCTAAAGCCATCTATTCTGCCGGTGCTTTGCTGCTGATCACTAAACGGGCAGTGTGATCAGATTTTTTACCCACACAATTTGGCGCCGTCTGTGGGAACGAAGGAAGAATAGATGGCCAGTAACGGACAACAAGGAAACGCTGGGGACGATGCTCCTTCTGGAAGCAACAGACCGATTAACCTTGACACCGAAGGAGACAATCGCAATACAGAAGCCCGTGACCAGGGTCACAGGGAGAACGACGATATCCAGGAAGGTGACACAACAAAAAGATCAAACCAAGGAAAATACTACAATGAAGACAACCTCCAGGTATGGAGGGACAGGTGCCTACGCAGAGACGAGGAAGTAAAGGAATTAGCAAACAAGTTGGCGGACCTCCAGTCGGTCGTCAACTTCATGATGCAGAACAATATTATGCAACCACCATACCCGCTGCAAGATACGCCAATGCCAGCAACCAACACCCAGAAGGGTGGAGGAAAAACAATCCCCGAGGTCCCTCAACATACCAGGAGCGGAAGGCATTCTCACCGGCCTTCCAGGGAAGTCGGACGAGAAAGGCCGAGGCAAGAAGAGTCCCGAAGGACGCAACACATGAAGAATCCAGACCCCAAAGAACATCGACATGTTCAGGGGCAAGTACTCCACTTTGACACAACCCAGGAAGAAAGACCCAAACGGACCCACCTCGAGGCCGAGAGCAGTATACCAAAAAGACTAAAATCAAAAGACAGCCGAGCTCCAGGGAGGAGCAAAGAAGACTTAAGGGACTACCTCAAGAGGAGGCAGCAAAATGCAGAGGCCGAGGTAAACTCCCCAGTAAAACCGAAGACAGCCTTCTCGGTAGAACTGGACAAATTCGAACCACCCAAGAGGTTCAGTATGCCGAGATTCCAAATCTATGATGGTAAGTCAGATCCAAACTTTCATGTTGGACTATACCTAAATTCAATGGCACTATATAGCGGGAACGAACCATTGCTCTGCAAGGTATTCCCCTCATCCTTTGGGGAAATTGCATCTGATTGGTTCCACAAGTTACCGAAAGGAAGTATAAAGACATGGGAAGGCCTGGCCGAGATGTTTGTGGCCAGGTTCGTGACCAACAAGCTGCAACCCCTGAGGGTTGATGCTTTGATGGCTCTAAGAATAACCAAGGAAGAAGGCCTTAGGGCCTATGCGAAGAGATACTACGAGGTGTTCAACCGAATACCTGAATGCAACCAGGAAGTAGCAGTCGTATCCTTCAAGAACGGCCTGAAAGATGACTGCCCACTACGGAAGTCCCTGGCAAAAACACTGCCAAAAAGCATGGAGGAACTCATGGCAAGAATTGAGAAATACGCCAGGGCCGAGGAAGATACGTCGGGAAACAAAGAAGTGAAGCAAGAAAAGGGAAACGGCTCCTTACGTTCATGTCATCCGATGCATATACGAAACGTTACTTTCTGCCTGCCATGAAACGTTGCTCTCCGCCTGCCGGCAAGTCACAGACGGCAGAAGGGCTTACATCACTTCTGGCAGAGTTGAGGAGAACGAGCCACCTGTCCAACAGTTCGCTTGGACTCCAATACTCCTGTGGCCTATATAACGTATCGTATATGCAGCAAGACACAACAACAACAATACAACCAAGTCTCATGCTTAAACACTCTCTCATACTTTACATTAGTGTTCAAAGGTCTATCACTGCCAACCTCTCCCTCTCCAAGCTTGCCTTGACCTCCTCCTCTCCACCTCCGGTGATCCCAAGCCATTGAAGTGCCCGCCATCTTCAAAGACTATCTCAATAGTAACACAATCCAGTAGTGATTCAATCACAAACAACATACAGAATAACAACCATATGAAATCAGAACAGAAAATAAGGAAACAAACAGGACGAAACAAAAACTGTATTTGAAACAGGAATAATACAGAATCTATTATGGATTTTTAAACAGAACCGAATCGATTTCTAACAATAGACATGATATGACCACTCCGATACCACTTATGAGAATTAAATCTCAAAAATTTGAAATATTGAATCGTGTATCATGTGTATTATTAAGAAATCAAAGAGAGATGCGTACCTGAATCCATTGTGATGGTTGAACGGAAGCGTGATTATATGGAATAGCCTTCCAATCCTTTCCTTACGTTTATGCCTTTGAATTTCTCCTTGAGAGGATTTTGAGAGAACTTTTCATTTTGCATATATATTGGCAGGATTGGGGATCATCACCCCTTTGTTGAGTTGTTTTCAATCTGTCAGTTTTTTTTTTTTTTTTTTTTTTTTTTTTTTTTTTTTTTTTTTTTGAACTTGAAATAGAATCTATTACTCTTGGACCAATAATTCAAAATTTGTTCAATTGCACAAACTTCATTGAAATAGGAATTTGAATTAACATGCAAGACCATGGTAATATAAAGACATGTCAATATAAAAAAAAAAAAAATTAAATATACATATACATATACATATATAAGTTCAACTTTCGGGTTGGTTCGGTTTGGACAAGGTTTAAACCAAGAACCAACCCAATCCTATAGATTTGACAATTTAAAAACCTGGAACCAAATCAATTCGATTATTCGATTTTCTTGATATTTTGAGCACTCCTACTAGACATGATGATGTTCCTTTTTATTTTTAATTAAAAAAAATTAGTAAAAAAATAAAATAAAAGTAGTAAAAGAAATATTTAAGCAAACGTTCCTGGAACATTCTTGGGGCAAGTATTCCTTGTAGACAAGTCTTCTTTTTAAACCATTTATTTGGGATTTTTTTATATCTAATTTCATATTTATATATAGGCATATACATGCATATTAGTCAAATTACATTTTATCATAAAGTTGGGTCCAAATTCATATTCTTCCTATCATTCATTCACTTTATGACATTAAACCTTTCTATTAGATAGAAGGCTAAAAAAGTAAAAATAACCATATGAGTTCTTTCAATTCTCTTTTCTTCTACTTCATTTATTCTCTCTTTCTTCGCTCCACCTCCAACCTAAAACAACCACCACCAATTCATTATATAATTGTATTCACGTAATTGAATCATATTTATCTTTAAAATAATATACAATTTACTTTTAAAATAATGTTTATCGGCTATGTGATCCAATAATGTGATTATAATTATCTAATTAATTTGATTTTTTTATATAAATAATTTCTAAAATGGTCCTAAAATTTGAATTAATCTGATTATCAAAGTAAGCCTAATAATAGGCCTACAAAAGCTCAATAGCACCCTTTAATTGGGATCACTGACCAGAGAGAATCTACATCCTATTTGTAAAAGAATCACAAAATTTTGGTATTATATGTGTATAAACGAGAGGGGAAATTATTAAATATTTATGGAGTATCACGTGTTTGTACTCTGTAACCAATCATCATTCAATATGTCCACTTATATTCCTCAATCACTTAACACAATACCCCATCTATCCACCTTCTCCACTAATCATAATACTATAGAATATCACGTGTACTTATTTTGAAATTACTGAATAATTATCCGAATGAGAGTGGGTGATGCTTGGTGTTGTGTGGCTGTAGAGGCTGGGGTGGACAAGGACATCCAACCTAGGGAAAATCCCCTGTTGCATGCCTGCCTGACTTGAAGTTTGTATTCTTCTGCAACGTCGGCCATGCCTTGAGCATAGGCCTTTTCATCGGCCTCCTTGACTTCGGCCTCCTTGGTGGCCAGAGCTTGTTGAAGTTCTTTTTGCGCTTGGACCTTCTGAGCCTCGGCCTCCCTTTTCTCGGCTTCAGCTACTTTTTTAACGGCCTCAGCAGCTTCGGCCTTCTCAAGAGCTAAGGTTTGGTTCTTCGTCG